CATGAAGAATCTTGATGACTGTAGATAGCAGCAGGGTCATGCGAGAGCTATGAAAGAATAATCAGAATGCAAAGATCAAGGAGAAATTCTACCAGAAGAATTTTGAGAGAACATTAATATGTTCAGAGAAAGAAATCAAGAAAATAGTCTAGCAAAACATGAGCTCTGAGATCATGAAATCAAACTACAAGAAGAAAAACAACCTGTGAAGTTGTCAATCTACAGGTTGAATGAGAAAGAATCAGCTGAAGTCAGAAAATACATCAAGAAGAATCTAGAAAAAGATTACATCAGAGAGTTGACATCATCAGCAGAATATTCAATACTGTTTGCACCAAAGAAAGATGGAACACTATGACTATATGTGAATTACAGACAGTTGAACAGCATAATGGTCAAGAACTGCTATCTGATACCATTAATTGAGAAAGTGCAAGACAGATTGAGAGGAGTAAAATGATTTACTCTGATTGACATTAAAGAAGCATATCATCAAATATGAATCAAGAAAGATGATGAGTGGAAAACAGCTTTTAGAATGAGATATGAACTGTATGAATACAATATCATGTCATTTGGACTAATTAATGCACTGGCAATGTTCCAGGCACTCATCAACAATGCATTACAAGAATACTTGAATGACTTCATCATTATGTATCTCAACAATGTGGTCATATTCACCAAAGAAGACCAAAAGGATCACACTGAGAAAGTCAAGAAGATACTAAAAAGACTATGAGAATACAATCTATCAGCAAAATTAAAGAAGTGTGACTTCTTCAAGAAAGAAATTGGATATCTTGAACACATTATATTGACAGAAGGAGTATGAATGAAACTGGGAAAGATTGATGAAGTACTACAGTGGCTGATGCTAAAGAATGTCAAAGAAGTACAAATGTTCCACAGACTAGTGAACTACTACTGATAATTCATACATGGATTTTCAAAGAAAGTGAGACCACTCACACAGCTATTCAAAAAAGACAAATCATTTGAGTGGACAAACAAGTGTCAGAAGGCATTTGAAGCAATAAAAGACAAGTTCAGAAAAGAAGAAATGAGATGACACTATGATCTGATCAAGAAATGTGTGATTGACACAGATGCATCAGATTGTGTGATAGCAGGAAGACTGCAACAACCAGATGAACAAAAAAGATTAAGATTGATTGTGTGCTATGCAAGAACAATGACACCAGCAGAGCAGAATTATGATATCCACAACAAGAAATTACTTGCAATAGTGACATTATTAAAGAAATGGAAGATTGAACTGCAAGGAAATCAGCATCAGACAGAGATCATCTTGGACCACAACAATCTATAATACTTTATGATGATAAAGAAACTCACAAGATGACAAGCAAGATGGTATGCTGATGTACTAGTGCACCACAACTTTAGAATACAACACTGCAAAAGAATCAAAAATGCATGGACTGATGCACTAAGTTGAAGACTGGACTTGATGAAGAAGAAAAGAGATTTGTGAGCACTCTTCAAGAAATTAGAAGAAACAAAGAATATGGTTCTGGATCAACAAGCTTTAAGAGCAACAAGAATCAAAGCAGAGGAATTGGATATCAAAAGAAAAATCAAGAAAGTCACAGTGGAAGACAAATATGCAAAGAAGATTGATGACAAAAACAGAAATTTCAAGAAAGAAGATGGAATGATACTATATCATGAATTGATATATGTACCAAGAAAAATCAGAAAAGAAGTGATGATACAAGAACATGACACAGTCACTTCAGGACACTTCAGCATTGACAAGACAATAAAGAAGATCATAAGAATGTACTATTGGTCAGAAATGTGAACAGACATTCAACAATATGTTAAAGAATATGAGACATGTACATGAAGCAAGACCAACAAGCAGCAACCACATGGAAAACTACAGTCAATATCACAACTATGAGAATCATGAAAGTCTATAGTAATGAATTTTATCATGAAACTCCCAAAATCAAAGAATATGAATGGAAAGAAGTATGATGCAATACTAGTGGTCACCAACAGATTAATGAAATATGAATACTTTATACTGTTTGAAGAAGCAACAGATGCACCAGAAACAGCACAAATGGTACTAAGAGCAGTGATTGTCAATCATGAATTGTCAGAAGAAATAATTACAGACAGAGATACAAGATTCATGAGCAAGTTCTGAATGACATTAATGGCACTATTAGAGATTGAACAAAAGATGTCAACAGTCTATCACTCACAGACAGATGATCAGACAGAATGATTAAATCAGA